GTATTTGAAGATTGTTTTCATTAAACCACCTTGCAATCTTCATTTCCTCATTTTATACTGAATACAACAGTGATGATCAAGACTTCACTTGCTGTGTATGAAAATTGCTACCCTTTCCTGATGTGGTTTTTTGCCTTAATATATTGATCTGCAGCAGTAATCAATACTTGAGCTACAATTCAACAATTTAAGGATTTAATTTTAATAAGACAGTAAATAACTTTCACCTTGTAATGATTGCTTCATCCTCCTCCCAGTAATGAATTACTACTTCTCAGCTGCCACCCCCACCAAGCAAAACATATCAGCGGCAATTGTCAGTAGAGGTACAATGGGAACTCGGTCACTTTCCCAAACACCAATTATGCAACATTAGAAATGGATTATTTGGGCTGTTAGGCCACTTGTGGAGTAGAACAGTTCCTTCTTTGACCTTTTTCTTATAAGTTTATGAGGATTCAGAATGACACTGTTCCAAACACAGTAGACTCTCAACAATTATTAGTCATTTTCTTTCTTCTGCTCGTCTTAAATTACACATTGTTTCACCTAAAATATGTATAATAATTTAAGCTTTCCAGTCAGAAAACACACGCTTTACAGCTATCAGTGGTGCATAATAATTTTGTGTGCAGAATACATATTAGCATACAGCACAACTTTGGCTCTAAACACATTACAAATGAGAAATTTTCCACTGAATGTGCTATTTCTACTGTTATGAGAGAGCTAGGCCTCCATTTTCCCTAGTCCCTTTTAAAACCCAAAAGTACTTCATGGAAATTTTTTAAAATGTGGAATTAATTTCACACATACACTTAGCAAAATTAGAAGAAATTGAAATATTAAAATAGCTGTCCAAATGATTTAATTATTATAGTTCTGGGCTCTGAGCGACTCCAGTAAATGAAAGTGAGTCAGTCAATATTTCAGTTCTTTATTATACTCTGTCCTAGGCACCACATAATTAGTAGGTTAAGTAAATACAAAGTAAATGAGGGTCATCAGCTTCCATTATCATTACACAGGAGGTTGTAAATTATTGAGGGGAGATAATCTTGTTAATCTATGATTCTTACTGTGACTAAGTACTGTGCATCTTTGGAATAATCAAGCCAATTTGGTATCCATACAGTTTGTAAGAAATCTGACAGAAACACAAAATGTGTTTTACTTGTTGATGCAGGATATATATTTTTTTACTAGTATTCAAAGATAAGCATGATTAAATGCCCTTTATCTTAGCCTTTATTGCAAGGGCAGGTGAAAGTATTGAATACAGTTTGCATACTAACTGCAATCATATTCTACAATGCATGCCTTACATAGACTTTAAACTCAAATTTAGTTGGCAAAAATATTTCCACAATATCCTATTTTTGGGAGTAGGCAAATGTGTAGAACTACATTAAAACATGTAGAAATTATGCTTAAAATGAGATAAATATGTGCTTATGTTACACAAATAAGTGGTTATTTTGGTTATCTGCACCATTAGAAGAAGTAAGCTTACCAGCAGATAAAATTTATTCATGTATAAGTACATAATACTCTATACCCAATAACCATACAGAGAAATTTCTCTATTAGAATTTATATTTATCAAATGCTTGACTTCACAATGTTGTTCTGATATTTAATAGCTAATTATGATGCCTGTAGAATATTCATACACAAATAAAGCACACATAGTGATATAGAGCCATCTATTGAAAACACTTGGATCTGACGCTTGGTAAGGGTATGGATGGGAAACTGGAGCTTTTCCCCTAATTGGTCATATTCCATTTGGGAACAGGCAGTATTTTTTGAGTCAATTCTGAAGTATTGTTGAGCATTCATGGGTCTTACATGTTTTATTTTATAACATTTGTAATAATTTATAATATTTATAATATGTGTCATGTAATCAGCACACAGATCACTCTAAAACTTAGGATATTGTTTTCTTTAAAAAATTTTAATTCTAATGTTTATTTTAGGGTTAGAGTTGAGGTTAGTTAGGCATTTGATTAAGGGATCATGTGAGACAGTACAAAAGTTTTAATTTTGGTGACAACTAGAAGAATACATATAACATGGACATTGGAAATGTTAATAATTGTTTCAACTTGAGAAGTTTAGAAAGTTAAGACAGTGGGACTGATACTGTGCAAGAGAAGGGCACAGAGATGGTGTCAGTGCTACACTTGCCCTAAGGCAAGTAGCCTGCATACAATATAAGGGAGAAAAGTCGCTTCCTTACCCCCTCTTTTGTTCTTGGTGCTTTCGCTGTATTTTGCCATCTTGAAGTGCTGCGCCTCGCCATGCCACCCTGCCTTGAAACCAACTGATTAGGGACTAAAACCTCCATGAACTGTGAACTGAATAAACCTTTCTTCCCTTAATTTTGGGTGTGGGGTATTTTCTTCTCAGCATTGAGAGAGAAGTAACCAAGACAGACAACTAGAGATATTACATAATAAAGTCAGTTGGCTAGCCCTCTGCAGTTTCCCTTCTTTTTTTATTCTCTTAATACTGGGGATTGAATCTAGGACTTTCTCACTGAGTATAACCCCAGACCTTTTAAAATTATTTATTTGTAGACAGAATCTCAAATGAAGTTGTTAAATTTTCCAGACTAGACTCTACCTTGCAATCCTCTTACTTAGCCCCTCAGAGAGCTGGGATTATAGGCATATGGAACCATGCTCTGCTTTAGTGCTCTGTTAGCCTTAGAAAAGAGGAGCAGAAAGAATAATGTAATGACTTTTGCTGGACATAATAAGAATTACTGTATCTTTTTGATTTATGAAAGAGTATATGCATGCCCCATTGGCACCATGTGCTTTTAACCTCTTGGTATGCTGCAAAGCAAAAATAGGATTTCAATGACTGTACATTTTTAAATATGTTTTTATTTTTTATATTCTAAACTTCTAAAACTTCTTCCGTTAGTTGGTCTCATTCAACCTCCACTGCTCTGAAGACCAACAGCATGTCTTTCCTTCATATCTGCCTTGCAAACCATGTGCACATTGCATTAATCTTCACTGCTAAACACCTTGCATGCAATCTAATAAAACAGAAAGCACTCTCTTCGTGGATCTTCCATGCTACTTGTTAGAAAGTAGAATTCCTTGTGCTAGCTAGGAAGACATATGCTGAAAGCAAACCCAAACAGCTCCTGAGGGTCTCCTATTACATTCAGAATGAAATATACATAAATTTCCACCTACTAATCCCAAGTAGTTTGTTCTTTCTTTATTTTTCCCTCTTCTTTTTTTCCTCCAAAACCACTGCAGCTACACTGACCTCAGTCAATTTCAAGAATAAGCCAACCTCTTTCTCTGCACACTGTATACAACTACTGCCTTTTCTGTTTGGCTTAGTTTCAAGTGTTTTAAATGTCACATAGATATGAATATGTGTACACGTGTACATGTGTATACACACAAATAGGTGTGTGCTGTCTTGCATTGTCTTTCTTGGCTCTGTGATTGGTTCCCTGCTTGGCTTGTACCGCAGTCAGAAACTACCATTTGTCTTGTGCCTTTAGTTGTTTTGTCTTCCTCCATTAGAACACAGCTCTATAATGGCTGGAAATAGAACGTATGTACCTAGGCCATCAGTGTTTCTTCAAGTACAGTCCCTACGGTCTTTTTAGTATTTACTACACATTTAATAAATATATACACATGAAAATAAATATTCAACATATCTAAAATAGTACAACCTGAAGCTAACAGGCACTAAAATTGACTTTTTAACCTTGTCTTTAGCACCAATCAGGTATGAGGTTCACACTTCTGTCTGCCTTACTTTCAAAATCACTCAAAACAGAGAAAGCAAAACTTGGCTCATATTTCTCGGAGGACTTTCGTGAGGATAAACTGAGATAATGGATGTGAGGCCAGTTAAAGTTTTTAAACATTGCCTGAATAGCCCAAAGTCACAATACCATTTAAAAATGCATAAATGAGGAAAAGAGAACTTGGAAAAGTTTCAGCATCTTTTAAGTTGGGTAACATGTTTTTCTAACTCAAAGGAGGAACTAAAAAGGTTTATGATACGACACCCCAAGACCATGGAGAAGATGGTTGCTACCTTGGAAACCCACAAGTTACATTTTGGAGTCCCTCGGTAAGGGGCAATGGGCTTTACCCCACTGTGAAGAAAACTGCGATGAGCGAACTCCCTTTAAACAGTGGTGGGATGGGTAGTAAGTAACTCTGTCACAGTTAAACTAAGGAGAAAGTAGGAAGCCAAGGCCACTTTAGGTATCTGTTGCCAACTTCTTTTCTGTCACAATCCTTTTGATCTGATCTACAGACACCGCAGGTGATTAATTAGCGCTACGTGCAGCCCCTGCACCCACCCGGGACGAGGATGGGGAGGCGGACAGAGAACTAGCAACAACCGACGTTGCAGAGATCCCACCCCGGACGCAATGCACAGCATCACCCTGAGCTGCTCCATCTGTTTATGGAGGAGCATCCTCCAGGGTCCCCACATGTGGGTCAACGGAGGCGCTGCACCCTGGGACGCTCCGCTCGGTGCCTATGGACTCGGCACCGTGGGGCGCGCGAGGAAGGGGACACCTGTGCCTGTGCCGGGAGAAGCCCGCGCACCTGCGTCCTCACCCGCATTCGCGAGACCTCCCGCGCGTCCCCACCCGGGCTCGCCACTTATCCCTTCTCTGCCGTCCCGCGCCTCTCAGGTGAACCATGCGTTTCCCGCGTTCTGCACCCTCCGCCCGGCGCAGCCCTGGCGGGAGGTTCTGCAGAACTGGGCATGCCTAACAACCACTGGTGACCGGGGCTGCCAGGAGAAAGCGTTTGCACCTTCCGAGCGTCCCTCCCCGCCGCATCGGCCTCCTGCCCGTCAGACGAGACGACGTGCGCATAGACCAATGAGAGCCCGCACACTTCGCACGCGCCACGCCTCCCTGGAGCGACTGCCAATGGCCGCACGGCAGGGGCGGGCCGCGCCCTGACTCGCGTCTCCAGTTAAGGCCGCCGCGCGAGGCGGGCAGGGCGAGCCGGCGAGTGCCGACGGCGGGGACAGGCGTGGGCGCAGGCCGCTCAGCCGACGGCGGGACGAGAGTGGGCGCGGGCGGGTCACGGGGGACGCGCAGGCCTCGCGCGGAGGCGGAGCCGGCACTGCCGCCTGCCGCCTGCGTCCCGAGCGCGCAGCCTCGCGCTGCCTCCCTCCCCGGGGACGGTCCGAGCGCACGATGGCTGAGGAGAAATACCTGCCGGAGCTGATGGCCGAGAAGGACAGCCTGGACCCCTCGTTCGTGCACGCCTCGCGCCTGCTGGCCGAAGGTAGGCGCCCGCTCGGGGCCGCCGGCCGCCCCGCGCCCCGGGCCGGGACTGCGACCTGTGGGACCGCGACAGTGACGGGCCCTCCGCTCGGCGGGTGCTGGGGGTGCGGGGCGCGGGGTCTCGGGGCGGCAGCGGGCGTCACCCGCCGCCGCCGGCCGTGGGCAGGGCTGTGGCGCGCCGGGCCGCGCGGGTCGGAGGACGCGGGTTCCCGGACCCTCGCCGATCCCTTGCGTCCCCGCCAAGCGCCCAGGAGCTGGCGGACTGGCCTTTGCATCGCTTGGAAGGTTGTTGGAAAAAAGAAGCGCACACGCACAAACTTCTGCGTGGCACACGCAGGCACATAATCACGCCACGCAGCTAGGAGGCATGCCGCCACCGCCAGACTCTCAGGGCAGCAGGAGCTCTTTTACACACCTTTTAAAAATACAACTGCAGATTTTTTGGATGAATGCTTCATTAATAATGAATTGCTACATCATCAATTTGGCCACAGTGCAGTTTTGTAGCTTGGGCTGTTAGGGACTTACCCACAATAGAATCCAGAGTGACAACTTCCTCAACTTTGTTTCCTCAGCATTGAAACAATTCCTTGAGACCTGACTGTGCGTGGAAGATAAACATTCTGACCTTCTATACGTGATTCCTGTAGACATTGGTTTTATTTTGACATTTTGTTGGTGGAGTGTTATTTATAATTTGCTTGCTAAACAATCAAGAACATGGTGATAATGAGAATGTGAAATATGAAAGGACTAAACTGTTTTCAAGAAAAAGGCTGGTTTTGTAGAGTACTGGGGAGTAAAATGCAAGTATGCATACTGCATTCAGAGAGAAAACAAATCAAAGTGGGAAACAACAAGAGTCAATAAAAAAAAACTTCACCTACTTTTAAAGAAAAGACAAAAAACAAATGACTATAGAAAGACAAGTTACTCTATTGTTACAGTTGTTCAAAATGACTAAAAATGCAGTTATCTTCTCAAATAATTTAATTCAGTATATTTTCCCAGAAATGCCTTCATTTGGCATGAGAATGCTTTTAAAGTGAAAAAAGTTACAAATTGGTTATTTTCTCTGACATTCTAATTGAAGTTCTCTTTGGGACAGCTAATTCACCGATTAATTCATCAGTCATTAATGTGAGTTTTTGACTTGAAAACTGCCAGATAAGTTGCATATGAGAAGCTGTTTAACGGAGTGCATTGCTCCTGCAACTGTGTTCCTGAAGGTTAGAACCCTCAGAGCAGGCTGCATCTGGCTCCCTAACATTTTGTCTTTACCACAGCTTGATTTCTCAGTGCAGGACTCTAGAAGGTATTCGGATGTACCTTGTAATTTAATTTTTTCCCAGCAGGGGGAAGCATGTCCTGCTTTTGTAAAGAATTAGGAGGAAATCTCCAAAACAGAGAAAAAGGCATCTGAGTAAGAAACAAAGGAGATGCTCACATTCATGGAAATCATAATAAAGAAAGGGAGGAAGTGATGCTAATAATCTTAGAGTACATAAAAACTCATAGAAAAAGATGCACAGGCTTTCAGTTACATCTGTAATTGCAGTTGAGTCTCATTATATATGCCTGTTAGAGTATAAGGTGAATATTCTTTAGAAGCTCAGAGAATTTTAATGTATATTTTATATTGTAGAGCTTTCATGATCTTCCCAAAAGGACATTTGCCAAGATTTCTAGCTTTCCTTTCAGATCTCTACAGAACAGTATTGTGGAGCTAATTTTATTTTTCTTACCTGGAAATCCACTGATGGAAGGCAGTGCCTATAAATAATCCTGACATGATATTCATTTGGAAGAAAGGTGCACTCCAAAGTACGCTTCAGTCAGAACTGTGCAGGCAGTCTCAAGATGGAGTGAGTAATAAGGATGATTCACAAGATTCAGTTCTTTGCAATGATTTTCCAGACACTGAAACATTACAAGGGCAGTGATATAAAGCAGTGGCTTTCACAGTAATTGATTTTTGCCTTTTGATTGGTGATAGATACAAATCAGTGCTCATTTTCGACTATTTCATTTCATATTGAAGGCTCGAATTAAAAGTACTAGTTTATTGGCTATTGTTATTTTGTTGTATTTTCCTTCATTTTACTTGTTTCTTGTTTCAGTAGGGATGTTTCTGAGAAAACGTTTTATGCATTCGCTTATTACTTATAAGTGATTTTGCATAGTGTGATTTGAAGAGCATTTGTTTAATTACCTAAAATAATTTACCTTTTGTAGTTATAATGCTACTTAATTATTCATTTGTTATAGTAGGTATTTTCAAATATGATGAAATGCCAAACTCAGCATGTTTCCTAAAGTTCTTTCCTCTCAGCTTCTGAATTTGCTTGCCAGATGAAATTGCATGAGGTTTATTTATATCTAGGCTACTTCTGGGAATTGCGTTAGACTGTGAATCCTGATACCTGGATTTTAGTTCAGCTTTTACCTAAACTGGATTTTTGTAAGCTTCTCTTCCCAGGGCCCAATTTCTTTGTCTCTCAATTAAGGAATTGGTCTAGATGATCTATATGTTTCCTTGCAGTTGGAATTAAGTTCTAGATTGAAGGGTGAGTGGTTTGTGTATTCAGAACACAAAAGTCAATGGCTTCATATTTTTGGAACTTTTTTCATTGCTTCCTTATTTAATGGTTAATAGTACATTTATTGCACTATAATGTAATTTGAGGCATATACATAACTTTGGGCATTGGGGACAGATTTAAATTAAGTCTCCTGAACTGTTATCAATGGGTGGGGTCAGAAGTGTATATTCTTGGAAATATTCTTATTTGCAGTTATGCATAACTGCTGACAGACACAGATCTGTTCAAACTTATAGATTCAATTAATGTTGATTCTGTGCTTTCAGGAATATAGTATTAATAAATTCTTGTCCACGTGAGAGTGTTTCCTAACCTGAATTCCTCACAAAGATTGGTATGTTTATCATTGCTTTGGTTAACTCATGGGTTAGTGAAATCAAATAATTTACAGATACCCCAGAAGCTCAAATATTGTTAGAAATATTCTAGGTACTACTTTCAGATTTTGGTAAAACACTTTCCCTATCCTCCACAACTGGCCTTCAGTTTTACAGTATGTAATTTCTTAATATGAGGACAAAAATGATTAAAATTTGTTACGAAGAATGATTTGTACTAATTTAACTACACTTGAATTCTTTTTTTTTTTTTTTTTTTGGTCTTTTTCATTTTTATCGGTACCAGGGATCAAACTCACAACTGCCTGCTTGCAAGGCAGGCCATTGAGCTAAACCCCCAGCCCCTACACTTGAGTTCTTAATAAGGGTCATTTTAAAATTTTGCTTGTGTTGGTTAAGTATTTTCTATAGAGTTTGACATATTGGAGAACTTATTGATATTAGGTTTAAAACTAGCTTTTGATAAAAAATGGTATTTACATACCTCTAAATTTGACTTTTCTTCTTGATGAGCTTAATATTTTTTTTTTTTTTGCCAGTAGATTCAAGACAATATTATTTCTGTGCAAAACAAACATGGGCAAAAATTACATTCCAGTTATTTTTGATTTGTAATTAAAATAAATTTATGATATAGCAGGGAAAATTCGACTTCATCAAGTACAACATTTAAGATGAAGTATCACCACTTTTGCCATCTGTGAAAGACAGGATAGATTATTTTTCTCTCTCTGTGAAACTTAGTTTTTTAATCTGTAAAAAGAAATGTAGTACTTGTCAGGCAGCCTTTTAAGGGTAAAAAATTCTGTTTGTGATAATTGGTATTTTATACAAACATAACACAAATGTGTCTGAAAATTATGCAAATATAAAACAACACTTTTAAGATATTTTTGTTAACTAATTCCATTGTGTCCTTAACCTCATTTTGAAGGTAGCTTTCATAAGAAAATAGGAAAATACGCATTGTTTTACTGTTTGGATGACTGCTGAACGAAATTTGAACTCAGAATCAAAATAAGCTATTTGTGAAGAATGATTCAGTGAGGGTTTTAAAATACCATGTTCTCTTAGGTGGCCATCTGCCTGTGTTTACCTCCAGCTTATGTAAGCCTGGTCCTTTTCCTCTTCAGGGAAAAATCCAGCCCTCCTCTTATATTCCCCATGTCCTTCACTATCAGAAAGTGATTTCTCCTTCTGTTTTACTGAGGGAAATGCCTGTCTCCTCTGGCATTCCTTAGCCTCCTTCTACATAAAAACTTCTATAGCTGCTGGACTGTCTTTGGTGTCCATGTCTTTGATGCAGTCTGTAGGTGTTTCCCTTCTTCATGCCAACATCTTTCTTGCTTTCTGATGGCAGCCTCTTGATGGGATCTAGCCTAACTAGCTTTAACAAACAGCTGTGCGAAAGCAGTCAAATCAGTCTTTCTTGACAAAGCCTCTTTTCCTTCAAGCTTCTGATGATATTAATCCACACCGGCCGCCTCACTTTTGTAACTTACCTCTTTAATAGTCTCCTGTCTTCACCACTGCCCCAAAACTGGTGATGGTCATGACAGAATCATCCCCAATTGCCAAACTTAAGCTGTTTTCTAACCTTTCTTCATGTCTCCTAGTTCTACCTCCTGCTCTGAATCTTTCAATTTCTTTCCATCCCTTGGGCTTCTAAGCCCTGGACATGACTGATTTACTTTTGCTCTGAACACTCTCCACCTGTCTACTCCCCTTTTCTCCACATGAACACACACATTGATTTCAGAAGGATTCACTCACAGCTACAATCTGATCACATCACATTTTCAATAATTCTCAACTTTGCAGAGTGCATTCCAGAGTCCTTGACTTACAGCCTGTCCTTTCTGGACTCGTCTCCTCATCTTTTCTGCTTAACCGAACTCAGATACAGCAAGGCGTTTACTGATCATTTTCTACAGCCTCCATGCCCTTACCTACCCATGCAAAGCTGGACATATTTCCTTACCCATCATACCTAAGGAAGAGTGATAGACACTGTCCAGGTTACCATCGTTTCACAATTATCAGATTGCATCTGCCTCTTC